AACCAAGATATACACCATAATTTAGCCAAGAATTTTCCAATCGTTTTATATAATCAAACTAATTAAAATTGGTGTGACAAACAACATATGAAGCATTCATTCAAGCAATATTTTTCATAGTTAACACATCTATTTAAATAAAAATTCAAGTAACAAAAACAACAAAAAAACTTACTATATATTTTAGCAATCAAACTAAAAATAATAATTTAAAATCTGATACATACTTGTTACACCCGATATTCCAGTGCTAAATTAAAATTGATAATTTTTTGCTTTATGCCATTGAAATGATTGTCAAAGAAGATAGAGAGTTTTATTTTGGTTACAATACTTGTTTTGAAGTTATGAGAGTGAAGATCAATTAATTGTTTTGGAAGGTAAATAATAGAATGAGAGAAAGTTAAGGGAAGAAATCTTATTTAATATTGAAACGTTTTCGTTGTTATTTAATTCACCGATTTTTTATTTTTTTTTTAGATTTGTTTTGTTTTGTAAAATAATATATTGTTATGTAGGTGAAAAGTCAAACTATTGTTATATAGAAGTTATTTAGATACTTAAATTGTATATTTAAGTTTTTCACCCGATTTTAAATGATGACGTCTATATATTCTTAGAGTTGAAAAAGGGAGGAATCAAGTTATCATGTGAAATGGTTGAAAAACATACCTGAAAAGGATCAATGATCATGAAGTCGAGCAACTTGAAGTACTTTTTTTAATTTTCGATAGTTTTATTCTTCTCTAATTCTTCCTTCTTTTACATGTTGATTTTTCATTACATTGTAATATTAAATATGTATATGCTTAAATCAAAATAGCTAAGAAGCGTTCCATATCCCCAAATGTCTCTGTTTATTAAGGAATTTCTCTATTGATGAAATTAAGTGTTCATATTTATTTTATTTTTTCTTACAATCTTAGTTATCCTAATAATACGAGTAATTTTAATCTTAGTAATTTTTAATTGTACATTTAAATTTGTAGTTTGTTTTCCTTCACTACATCTCTTCTTTACAGATTACTACGTGACATACACACAAAGCGTAGAACATGATATTATAAAGGATAAATCGCACGTATATGGTATTGACGTATTCATATTATTAGAGGCTATATTATCTTAGTTAGCTACATATATTTTTCTTTAATGACAAATGCTTAGGTCTACTGTTATGCTTTTTTTTTTAATAAATATAATGAAAGTGATAAAATTAATCCTGATAGCATTTTCTATTTTATGACTCAACATTTTTATTAGAAGTTGCATGTTCACAACGACTAGTATATATATATATATATATGGGCTGAAAAAGAGTACGTGCCAAGTTGTGCTTTCTAAAGAGAGGGGGGAGAAATGAGGCTCCGCATGGCCTCTGGAAATTACTGCCCATGTATTTCAAAGTAAAGAAGGGGGGGGGGGGGGGGGAAG